AAACATCAGAATGTACTCATTTTTTTATTCTGGATTCATTAATCACACATTGAATTGCTGCACACTCGCATTCATACAGAATATTCTGTTGTGCTTTGGCGAACCTAACAGAAAAATCATTTCAACGCAGTGTACGACGTAGCGATTTCTGTGGTGGTCTGAGAGTGAGATTATTGACAGTGAGTAGTATTTATAGTTGAATAATTATTCCCATTAACCGTGCGCCGTTCAAGATTCAAATTATATTATCGCTATTGAATTAAGAAATTAAGCATTTTTTGAATATGACTACATCGCTTAACGCGCATTTGAATCATATGACTACAAATTAACATTTGAAGATTGATTTTCATCAGATTTTGCGCTCACAAATTGCATTTGATCGTTGCAAAATGTAAGCAAATAATGAAGCTTGCAGCCGTTGAATAATTCATCACCTTGTATGCAGTAAATTTTTCTGGTCATAACCGAGTTTTTTGAGTTGTGTCTCAAATGTACCTCGTACGACATCGTCAAGTTGTGAAACAGATAAACACTGCTCATCAAGACCACGAGACAAACAATCACTTCTGTACGCACAAAATCGCTCGAAATATTGACGACTACGACCGTTGCTGAGCCTCACCAAATAATATTCGCTGTAGCACATCTGAAATGATATCGGCGGCTTTAATTCATTTACCCCAAATACACACTTTCTTTTTGCAATTTTACTCGTTTATCCTAGCAATTCTCCCAAAGATCTTTTCTCATTGATCATTGCATGGCAGGGAACTGTCGGTGGCGCATCTGGAACGTTCAAGTGATGATTGAGCCCAGTTGCAACATTCAGCAGTAAGAAGTGAGGAATTTGAGAATATTTCATACTATTCAACTCGCTGAAAGTTTAAGCTTCGGACCGTTACCAAAAGATCTTCCTTTCTTGAGGTCTTGCATTATACGAAAAACTAACTTGCATCATTGCTGTGACGCTAGAATCTCACCAAAAGTGCGTGCATTAACTAAATTGCCCGAAATAAGCATTGACATTTGACTAACAAATCTTTCTGATTAATAGCCCTTGGAGTTTTCGCAGAAACTTTGACATCAGGTTTAGGCAGTATATATAATAACTGGATCTCACTGGTTCGAATCGATTCTCATTCTTTCATCCTCGCATATTTTCAATGAATTTTCGTGGATGGACATTTTAAATGAATTTTCGCGGAACATATTGTTTTACTGCTTTGATTCTTTGATCTTGTTGATCTGAACAAGTGAATGAGATCAAAAAATGTATCGCTGAAATCCGTTATGGAATGTCTTAAACGATCTTCAGGGAAGTCAAAAAATGAGATCTGAATGCGATTCGACTAGAACAAATCTCATCTTACAGCGACATCTTGAATGTTTGTGTGTGGTGCGATTTTGAATAATTATTGCCTTGGGAGTCACATAGCGAAACTTACAATTTGGTCATTTTCTTTTGCTTTTTGAGGGATAAGTAACGACCTGGTGTGTGCATCTTCAAAGTATTCCTTCATCGAATTGATATGAAGTATCGAAGAATTCAGAACGAATTATCGATAGTTGTGATTAGTCCAGAAAAACCGAAAAAATGTTACTCTTAACATCGATATTTTCACCTCAACATTCAGCAATCGAAGTTAAGACCAGCGCAATAGCTTATTCCAGATCGGAATTGTTGCGAAGCTAAAACCAGAACGGAGCAGAGGAAATTTCAAAGCCAGAGCTGAGACAACTTTTTTCGAATTGGGCATAATTATATCCGAAATCCTAAAGTATAAACTGAAATTTGAGAATGCCTCTCAAATCTTGTCGATACTCAATCAGTTAGCCGCATTTGGGACGTGACATTGGATTTTTTTTTGCTAAATATTGTTGCTTTAAAAACAACAAACAGGTATTCATTGATTTAAGTCAGACTCGGAGTTACATCACCCCGATTTCGAAAATTTTTTTTCCATCAATAATTGGCTTGGAAACAAGGTGCTTGATCATCGCAGAATGACCAAAAATACTAGAAATTGGGTAGAAGCTTCAAAAAATGTCTCATAGATGATGGTAGACATGAAATGAAAGATGCAAATGTGGACATAGAACCAAAGTTTTCCAAATTCAAATCAATTCATTTTGTCTCCTCACGTATTCGTTCATTAACAATAGCGCAATACATGAACTTCATCAAAGCACTTGAAAATGGTATTGACTAATGGTTCATAAGGGTCTTGTTCGACTTGCGTTGGTGATTCCGGGGCCAAGTACCGATGTAATTCAAGGTGTGTATATGCATGGTTGTATGCTGTCGTCTTCACAGTCCATAAACTGTCTCATTTAACCACCCAGCTTTTTCCTCGCGGAGCTCATGCTTCATCTAATTACATAGTAACCAATCAGTAAGCAGTCAGTAAGCAGTACCTAGTATGTAATTAATAAATACTCAAATCGACTGTCTCAAACTTCTGAAATGTCCTCTTACTACTAGAGTGAGAGAGCAAGCAAAACACCTGCTTGGACCGTTTCGATATTAAGAGCTCGAAGAATACTCCGATAACTTTACAGCATAGCTTGCTCAGTCTCTTGGTGCTAAGTGATATTTTCCTTGAAGTATGAATATCTGTAAGCACCTGCCTGAGTTCTGAATAGATTAACTTTGAAAGTGAAATGCGAATTGATTTCACTCATGAAAATGGATCAACTGTTATTCCGTTCAGTGCAGCGCAGAAACATGCGTTAAGACTGCGGAAGTGTTAGTGCAAGTGAACAATTCACGAGTGCATAAAATTGATGCCTTCGGAAAACTCAAATCCTTCAAGGACCACTATATCGACTCTGACACTTTGTAATGTTAATCCAACCCTAAACAATTTCCATATTCACACGCGTTTGTATTCACTGAAGCATCAAACCATCAATATTTTCACACCAGCGCGTTATTTCTTGGGCATATGAACAAGCAAAGAGCTCAACGGTGTTTCATATTCTACCAGANGAAATTTATATTTTGATTGCGTTCGTGGAAGACCGTGACTAATCTCATCGAATAAGCGACATTATTATCATTTAGTCATCATGATGATTATCAATGAATCTATACAACAAAACACTTTGCATCTGTTCTCATTCATTATTCCATTACGAGCAGATCTCAGCAGTTTGTTCTATCTGTTTCGTTACTTCTAACTGATTAATGCTCATTATGAATGCTTTTGTCGAAATACCAGGAACATTCTTTCCCTGGTGAAAATAAATAGAAGTTTGTCGTTCATATCTGTAAATAAGACATTCATTCAAATCAGTGACGTATTTAGGTGCTGAAATCTCCTTAATGAACTCTCCGAATGAAGTTAATCCTCTCATCATCTAATTTTCGCTAAAATTATTTATGTTAGATGGTCGAAGAACGTAATAACATTAACACTTTTGATGCAAAGTTTATAGTGATTGATGCTTTGCATGCACGAGCTAATAGTTGAAAAGTTGATTGACTGAATTAGAGAAAATTGTCTCGAAATTCTTGGAATGTTCGTGTACCCCATTGTCACTGAAAATTGTTGACCTTGTGCATGCTGGGAATGTTCAGTACGAGTTCATCAAGCATTCAAGGAGCCAACAATGAATAAAATCAGTGAGTGTAATAGCTGGAGTGCTTTATACTTGAGATGAATACTTTTTCTTTTTGCAATGAATCGATGATAACGAATGAACTATGTTCACAGCATCTCATTTAAATAGTAGACATGCGATAATTAATGCTCTTCGAAATACAAAATAAGCACATATATGCATATGATACCAACTTTAAGAACTGAGGATTTTTGAAGGATGAAAAATTGATACCAATAAAACGATAAAACGGTAACAACGAACCTGTTTGTGAAAAGCACATTCAACTGGATTCAAAGGNGTCACCATTCATGGTCGAAGCACCGCCTTTCGTTCGGCATTTAAAAGCCTTCTTTAGCCGATATCTCCACAACATTTATCCTACAAATGCATAGTGGAATAATAATTCTAGGTCGAAATAAATGACTTGTAAATGATTTGATTCAGTGCAATTTCATTGCAACGGGCCTACGTTTTGCATAATATTAACAGATAGATCCTCCACAATCCATAAATCCATACATTCATATCCAAATATTACTTTCGCTTCATGACGAGCTCCTCACTGTCCCTCTCTACTGAATCGATCGTTCTTCAGCAAAATTCCCTGCGATGATGAACATTTGAAACAGTAAATGAGCAGAAGTCAATAAGGATCACATGTTTTCCCCAGATTTTAATGATAAATTTATCGACTCATTTGCTGTATTTTAGTAGCGAGTGTAATGGCATGCAAAACTTCGAAGCTGATGTCGACAAAGGTAAGAGTATCATCCTCTCAAGGTTATCATAATTACCATCGTAGCTAACGCCTTGACTAGGATTCTTATCGCCGTCATTGTTAACAGTATCATCAATGTGGCTAATATATGGTGTTTATTGTCGCTGCTGAACATGTGATTGTTTGTGGGTAAACGTAGGCTGCACTTACTTGACGCATGGAAACGAACGGGTCTCAGGTAGATGTTGTCTTGAGCGTAGAGTTAACAAGATTACTAAGTAATTAGTAGACAACAACACACGGTCAATTTTCCATCCGAATCGAGCTTTCCTTATAAGCATTAAATAGTCTTATTGTTAATATGCAGACGACTAACTCACAATAATTTCGCTTCAGTTGTTGGTGTGTGCATTATCTGCTTTGTATTGATGCGTTAAGTAAGGTGTTCATTTGCCTTTCAGTTCTCTTGGAAATTTGCTTACAACATAAGGGAGAAAAATCTTCGCAGAATTTCACCTATCCAGTCAGCAGTCCTTGAATTTTTCGTTTTCCGAAAATTTTTTTTAACCGAAATTGTTTTACGGAGATCATCATCACGATAAAATGCATTCGGTATGCGCAAGTTTGTTGACTTTGTATGTGCGAGCATCATAATGGCCAGAAAATTCGTGTGAGTCAATCGTAGATTTTAAGACTTCAATGAGATATTGTTAGATGCTTTTTTATGAAGGCTTTCGTTTGTTCAGCTTGCTTAACAATGGTTCGAACTCGACACGATTGCTCATGGCCATGGAACGATCCTAAACAACCAACCACTATGCTGTGAACGGTGATTGATCACTTTCATACTTCTCGTTTTTGTTTGTTCGCTTGTTCGACTGATCCATTCGTAACATTCGGACGAGCTTTCGAACAAACACATTGTTCATAAAATCATCAGAAACGATTGCTGATTCCGGGATTGACTGGAAAATCCGCAGAGCATTTCAAGGAGCAAGAAAAGACTGCTGCTACAATGAGGGAAATTGAATGCAGATGAATACTTTCAAGTAGATCATGTGTACTTTCGCTATGATTTGGCTTTATTGCATGCACGCTTATGTTTTCAATTATTGCTATTGCTTCTTATTATTATTGATATTATCACTGAGATCATTTCTATGGTTTTACAGAAAGTAGTGAGGTATTGGTAGTAAAATTATTTATCAATGAGTTATGCATCTTTAAATGAACCAATGTTATTATTTTCTCTCATCATGACTGGAAAAAGAGTCTCTTAACGAGTGCCAGAAGGGATGAGAACATTGAAGTGATTGATGTATTATCAGAATGCAGATATTTGGGATTATTTCAACATCAGTCGCTTCATATCCTCTCTTAGTCATTTCCATTAATATTCGCTTTTGATGATTACTTATTGTTATTCAATCGTTGTTTCGAGACACTTCCGTAACACGCTAATGGATTCTCATTCAGAGTTCAGCAATCACATTTCAACGAAACGATTTCCGCCTTAAACACTGCTTTTCACGATAGAATGTCCCTAAGAATTTCTCAGTTCGTTTTAAAGTCTTAGAAGTGTCACTTTTTAAATCTAATATCATTGATCAGTAAAAAAAATCCATCTGAACTCTCATCATCATTGCTCACATTTTCAACCTTTTTAGACGAAATGATATTGGAAACGATCAATGGTAAGATCAAAGCGGTTGCCAAAAAACGAAAAGCTTCACTGAAGGCAATGGCAAAAACGCAGAGTGTCGACAAAAACAATCTTTTCCAATGTATCGCTGTTCGAGACCAACGAAACACGGTCATTCAACGCAGTATGTCACTTAATGGGATCCATCCAACACTTATAAATACCTACATTCAATGATATCGTGATATAAACGCGAATAAAGATAATCATTAGAGTCGTTCGCAGATACACATATGCATTGTTACTAAACTTTCTTATGTTCAAGATGCAATAGTAACAACCAAATTCAACAAAACGTATTATTTTACATACCTGACTAGAGCATATGCAAGCGAACGTTAATTTTATTGAACGATTGGAAATGAAGCACTCTTAAATAACCAAATACCCATTTCAAAAATCTCGATCAATTTAATTGGACGTCACTCGACTTTGCGTAGCTAGTACTAACAATTCTGAGCCTGAAAAAACCTCCCGCTGGGAGCCCTGCAAAACTCTGGATCCCATATGTAACAAAACTACATCTATCCAGTTCAACGACGACAAAAGACGTAAGTAACGTCTCGAGCACCGCCAATTAGTACAAATCTAACAGAAATCACATCTCTCCTCATCTCCTAGCCAAAGAAAACTCAATGCTGCCGAGCATATCTGAGAGAATCATGATCGTGAAAACACCTAATTCAATACATGCAATCATCGGTGCATACACAATGCGCAGGAATGAGCGGCTCAGAAACGTGATATGGCTTCACCTGAGAAGGTGATGAAACAAAACAATGTATCAGCACAAAATTATAATGACCCCGACGTGATTTGAACACGCAACCTTC